AATGCCAATATGCAGAGATGGCAGTGAGTCAAGTCTGATAGGATAGTCAACCTGTTATGAACCCTAACTAAGTGGGTTGCCGTCTATAGGTTTGGAATACCATTTGCAAAAAAACCCATTATTGCCAATTACATAGAAATATCTTCGCCATATTGAAAAACCTGAGATCAATTACCTACTTTCATATACTCAGAATATAGAAATTACTCGTACTGATTATATTCTTACACAGCATCCACAATTCTTTTTTTTTTTTGGTCACTTTTGTTGATAGTTTGGATATATGCAGTAATTTGAAAGTTGAGGCGCTTGTATAATCTCGATTTTCTTGATTGTGGATGTCGAATCAAGATAACATATTATTACATGTTTTCAGATTATTCTGTAATGAAAAATCATGAATAAATGAGAAGATAATAAACATTAGGGGCATCGAGAACCCATTGAGATCCGACGGCGACGGATATCCAAAAATATAGGTTGGACAGGTTTAAGATACCATCCACGAGGGTTAATTCCAAGAAAAAAGCACAAATTTTACGTCGATGGACAATTCTGGCCCAAACTTTTTTTGTTTCATAAAAAAGCACAAACTTTAGGTCGATGGACAATTCTGGCCCGAACTTTCTTTTGTCCCATAAAATAACACCAACTTTAGGTTGAGGGACAATTTTGGCCCGAACTTTTTTTTATCTCGTAAAAAAGCACTAACTTTCATTTAAATCCCAAATTTGGCTCCTCATTGACTTTCTGTTTGAAGTTACCCTTGTTTGAGAAAAAAAGTTTTGGTGGTGAGCCTGGCGAATCTCTTCCATGGCGTCTGTCGACGGGCGGTGGTCTACAGCTTCATATTACGACAAAACGACGAAGTTTGGCAAGAAAGATTCAATCTAGAGATATTTTTGACTTGCCGGTGAAGTGAAGGAGACAAATAGTTTCACCGTTATTTTTCAAGCTGTGGTTCAGAGAATAAGACAATGAATAATGCTTTAAATCCAGTCAGCAAGCCACGTGGATTTATTGCTAAAGTGGTATAATCAAGTTGGAAAATCAATGGTTTTAAGTCAATAAGGGCCAGATTTAGGATTTAAGTGAAAGTTGATACTCTTTTACGATACAAAAAAAAGTTCAGGCCATAATTGTCCCTCGTCCTAAAGTTGGTGCTTTTTTACGGGACAAAAAAAAGTTCGGGTCATAATTATCCTTCGACCTAAAGTTAATGTTTTTTTATGGAACAAAAAAAAGTTCGGATCAAAATTGTCCATCGACCTAAAGTTAATATTTTTTTTTGGAATTAACCCCTATCTATGAACTCCTCCGGGGCTCCAGACGGGCTTGAAAAATAATCAAAAGTTACTGGGATGGGTTTGGGACGAGATCAGCCATCCAAATCAGTCCCCCGCCGTTCCTGCCATCGAGATGACGTGACCTAACATAGAAACAGGCGTCCGGGTATCGATCAACTTGACTCGATCATATACAGGATTAACAGAGAGTGATTGATTTTTCCAGATTGCGAACTCAAGAGCAAATACACATGAATAGCAAGAAACATGTGCTCGAACATGGCACGTTCTCAACCGTTCGATAATGACCAAAGCATGAGGAGCACTGTTCCGTTCGAAACCCTCCTTTGTCTTACTGATAAAGAGGAGGAATACCCCTTCTTGAATACGATCGATTCACATGTATGGATGGCACGCAAATCCCTCAGGTCACATGTACCATTCCCTTTTGCAGATGAAGCAGCCTCCGTCCTTCACGTTCTGGTGAGCACCATCGTTGCCACCGCAGAGTGGAAACCAATAAAGAACGGCAGATAATGAATCACGCACGATGCCTCACCTAAAAGTGCCTAAAAGTTCCACAGAACTTTTTCCCTTTTTCCTCAATCTTGGTCAAGAGATGGGCACGCTCTATCAAGTGCGGGGTTCTGGAGGTGATGGCGAAATGCCAAGTTTTGGCCGACCTGTACTTGTCGCGTGGGACGATTTGAGAAAAGTTGGAAGTTGCTCAGCTTCTCTTTCTCTGTGGTGGTGAGGTTTCAGTGTTATCACTTCACGGTCCCCCATATGTGTATGCACCATATTCAGCAATATTAGGTACTTGTTACTGTCAAGTGGGGTTGTGATTGCGATGTGCATCAGGAGTTTCTTCTTCAATTTTGTGTGCGCTATTTTTGGTTTATTTTAAACTTGGTTTTGCTTTTTTGAGTTTGGCCGAATGATTTAGGGGCGAAACCGAGCCGAGCTAAGCGGTAGCTACACACGAGTAGCTCGGTCTTGGCTCGATGATTACTAGAGATCGTTTCGCTTACTTTCAAGTCTAGCTCGAGCTCGAGTCGTCCGAACATTTTTTTTTTTGCTAAATATAAATATACGGCTCACACGTTTTGACTTTTTTAATCCAAAACTCATGAAACTTTCAGAGAACTCAAATGTTGATATATAAATTAACATACAAATTTTTTTTTCATAATTTTTAAGTAATATTTTAAATTTTGGCAAGAGTTTTTGTTTTGATTGTAATCAAGTTGGGAGTAAGGCCTTGTTCGAGCATTTCGAGTTTTCTAATCGAGTCGAACTGGAGCAGAAAAAATTAAAACTCGATTAAGTTCGAGTTAAGTTTCAAGCATAGAATATACAGGTCGAGCTTTACTTGACCTCAGCGTGACTCGGGCTCGACCTCGGCTCGACTCGATTGCATCCCCGGCTGATTTGAGCATACGGGCTAATTTAAACACCACCCATAATTTTTCCCGATAATGGAAAGATCGCCCATAATGTCCCTTGTCTAAATTAGCACTTATGACTTAGGAAGCGAATTGGTAATGTCAAAATTGCTTCGACGATGATAAGAATAATTATTGAGTTTTCCTTGCATTTGATAATAAAGTCATACTCTTATTTGACTACCAAAGAACCTATGTTTTTTTTATTTTTTTTTGAAGATTTTCGGTCAAAATAAAGCTTTACTTGATGAAAGATCCGATTTTCTAGTGGCTACGTCACGGGCAGCGATGTTAAGTATTGATTGCACGCTTTAAGCCGTTTAAGGAAATGTGTTTTTCGGGGAAAACTTCATGATAAAAGAAAGTGTTTTTCAGAAGATCATTTCCCAGGAAAATGTTTTTCTTATTTTCATATCAGGAAATTCATTTTCCTGACGTTAAGCATGCATATTTCCTTTGACCATAAATTATTTTCCATTTGTCGATCATTTTCAGCAAACCAAACCTTGAAAATCTAGAAAACTAATTCGCTGAAAATTCTTTCACTCAAACAAACTTAATTGCAATCCATGCTAATCGTATGAAATTTTAGTTTGCCCATGAGTTAATGTGCTCCATACGTTCGAAAGGCAAGTTTTGTAAGTTACAATAATTTATGCCGTGTGAAATTGGTGCACCGCTAGTCATCTTTGATATCTTGGGAATATAAAGTGTTTATAACGTGACCTCAAGACGAGTGATCTCAACCAGACATTTGCTGGCATTACGATTCGAATATTGCCAGAGATTTAGAGATTTAATGGAATTCATTCTCAAAACGGTGTCTCGGGAGTCTTAAATCTATTGTCCGGATGTTGATTCGGTCTTAAATTTTCTTATTTTGTCAATGTAGTCCTAAATCTTTTACCGAAATTCCAATGTAATCCTTATCGTTAATTGCCGCTGGGAAATCGCTGACGTGGCGATCCACAAATTGTCCATGTTAGTGTGCCACATAAGACGGTTGGCGATGATGGGACACCACGTTAGAGATTTTCGACGGCAATTGGTCGAAATAAGTATGCTGAAATTTCGTGCAAAGATTTAGAATTAAATCAGTAGATTCTGTACAATATGTTTAGGTAATTTTTTCAGTAATTTGATATGGTTATTCATTTTTATAGTGTCATGTTGAAAACATCCCTAACATCATCACGATTTAAAACGATATAATTTTGAGAGATGGGCGGCCAACGATTGGCCAATGAGGCCTACCACCCATGAAACTATATAAAGGAGTCTCATGCCCTATCCAATTCTATCTAAGCATCCAGCATTGCCAAGTTGCAGCACCCAACACCTTCTACTTCTTTCCCTCCTTCCCTCTCCCTTTCCTTCTTCTAGGTCCCTCCTTTCCGCTCCTCGCCATGGCTTCTGCCGAGAGCTTCGCCCTCGGAAGCAAACCCCACGAGGAAGCTGCCGAGCTTGAGATACCGGAAGTCGACGGGGCGCTCCTCCGAGAAATACTCGAGGAGCTCGACAAGGACGACATGGCCATAGGCAGTAGTAGCTGTGGCGGTGCGGAGTATGCCGTGCAGCCGCCGGAGGTTCGCCGTCCTAGCCCCGTCTCGGAGGCCCCGAGCTCTGAGCAGGACGGGGTCCCGGTCCAAGACCTGGATTGGCTTGAGGACGTGATGCCACCAAGTGAGGAAGTGAGGATGGGTTGGTATGGGGATGAGATGGTGGGGACCATGGAGTTTCACTACGTTGTTGAAGATTGTGGTAATTGGGAGTTCTACGATGAAATTGCCTCAGAAGAAATGGGATACGGTTGCTTGTGGGAAAACAGTTAGGAACATCACCACTTGGGTCCCCGGTGGAACAGGACAGGTAATAGGATTCTAGGAATGTTCTTGTGGGACTTAAACTCATGCCATAAGTTACTTTTTTTTTCTCAGCTTTTTTACAGGATGTTGCCCAACGTGTCGTCGCGTTGACTCATAGCCTAAGTGATTGCAATTCCAGTAATTCTACTGTGATTTTTACTAAACCCGTTTCTTTGTTATCTATGTGTGCGTAAAGCTGCACGTGTATTTGGAGAATCGACCGTTTACGTATCCAACCAATCGTGGATACAGGCGGTATTGGTACTAGATTTCACTGAGCCTCTTCGAGCTTTCGACAGAGCAATTTATAGTAGGAATCTGCGTTTTAACAATCAGACGGAACGGATCTCATTCATTCAATCAAATCAACAAGAATCAACAAGAACCAAGCAATCAAACGCATTAGCAAAAGCATGTAAAAGTATTTAATTTAACACAAGCAAGTAATGATTTGTCTCTAATTGCTTTTCGCTTCCTTTGGAAACACCCGTGCCCTCGCCTAATGATATATCCTAGCTCTAATACTTTGGCATAATCAATTAAGCTGTTCCTTCTCGGTTTAGGTTGTAGGGTCGACATCAGGCTAAGGGCAAAAATAATAGCCTTGAACGACTCTTCCTTCATATCGAATTTTCTTCTGTCTAAGAATGGATGTTGCACAAGCCACAGAGAGACGATGCTAGACACGAGCAATTCCTCGTTTAGTCTGCGATAACCTGAGTTCACAAGTTGCAGCCATCTGCAGATTTAGGTTTCCTTGTTGACAATAAACTTGGCTATGAAAAAGCCAATTGTATCAAGAGGAGCCGATGGGTCAAATCTCTGGACAAGTTCTTCCTCCCCTGGTTTTAGCCACTCCCTGCAGACAAGCACCGTTACAAAGGTTGGAGTGTGAAAATTAAGCAGCCTACTGTTTGCATTGCAAAAAGCAAAACTTCAGCAAGCAACATAAATGAAAAGACAGAAATTCAAAGGCATAAAAGATTAGAAGCACAAAGACCACCAATGTTTTGTTAATTCAACAAGATGGACCATCCTAAGATCAGCCAGTCTTGCCTCAGATCATTCAACATGCCTTACGGTACCATTCTTTAAAAGAAAATCATATATCAACCATCTCGGAAATAGGATCGGGTAATTTTTTTTTTTTAACAATATATGGTTGGACAAAAGTACTTACTCTATATATCCATCAGTATATTCAAAAGAACCAACAAGGCCTGAACCTCCAACTCTTGGATGCTGAAAAGAACACAAATGCAGGTATCCATGAGATTACAAATAAGATGAAATATCAGCCAAATAATTATGCATATCAAAACGTTAACAGCACAATCTAACCTGAGGGGCTAAAGAGAGGAACTTGTAAGTGTCCAAAGCATACCGAACCAATGCTTCGTTTTCACCAGGATTTATTGTACATCTAGCAAACCATAAATAAACACCCTGTTAAATTTCACAGATGCTTGAGGTGGCAAAAGATTTAGAGCAATAGTAATTTAACACAGCGATAACTCGACTTGGTGCATTAAATTAATGATATAAGCACCAAATATGCAAGCTTGTTATAAGAAAAGTACCATACAAGTGCTTAGATGGACGAGTTTTTTAGGACCTACAAATGGTACAGGACCCGATTAAGCAGATGACGCTTGACTACCAATAGCAATGACTTAGCATGCATATAAAAAAATGCAATTTGACATGGTTGTATAATTCTTAAGTATGAGTTATGCCCCAGGAGAATAATAAAAAAAATAAAAAAAACAACATGCTAGGCATTTAAACGCAGCAGTTTCTGAAGGAAAAAAAAAACTCGGCAGTTGTTTTGAGAGATGTAGACACTTTAACCCTGCTTGTGCAACATGCCACTGCACAGTGCCACACCTTTCTAATGTGAGATCAAGTGCAATTGCAGATTCTTCATATGAATGGGTAATGAAATGCTCAGTGCACATGGCGAAGTAATCAGTCTCATATCTGCTTAGAATGCTACTTACAATTTCATATTGCACTAAAGGCATGCATATAATCAAAAATGATAACTAAAGAACTTGCAGAGAGTAGATTGTGCATACTAACGTTGAGTATACAATAACTCCACCAGGGCGTACTAACTGAACAGCCTGATCAAACATTCTTCGTTGATACTTTGCATGGCTTCTTAAAGATTCTAATGTTTCCTGGAGAAAAGAACAAAGCAAACATTATAAGCATAGGATGAACTACAACAAACTGGAACTTCATTCATCCTTGCAATTTGTTACCAAAACAGATTCGTCACATCTTCCATGGTGAAAGAAACACCCTTTCAAAAAAACAAGATCAGCTACAAGCTTTCTCAAAGAGGATAAGGGTTCTCAGACAAGATAAGCAAGATAACAAATCTTTCTTATGTTATAAAATAGGGCTGATCTTATTCTTGGTCCTGAAGCTAGGATATGCAAATCTGTACATGGGCATACCCTGACTACTTGGTCGTCCTCAATTCTAAGAATTACTACAACGAAATAGCAACTAAACTTTCCTTACCAAAAAAAAAAAAAATAGCAACTAAACTTAGGGAATGAAATGACAAATTAAAATCAAGTCATTGGATCCATCAAATGTCTAACCTCTCCAGAAAATAATCTGGGTCTCAGGCCAAGAGCAGAACATGGAGCATCAAGAAGAACTCGATCAAAGCTGTGAGGTAGAAAACCTTTGGAATTCTCCGCCCTAATGCCCTTGCACTGGTTCCTTCCTGGCCCATTCCTCATTCTTCTCATACTCTTCCTCACATCAGATCGGCTTGCGTAAGTTTTCTCACCGCTTTTCTCATTTCTAACTATAGCATTCACAATATCAGAGATTAGTGTGTTGTTACTTACAACATGGAATATTATTAAAACAAGACAAGTGAATGCATATCACATGCATCAGAGGGAAGTTAAGAACTACAAGCTACAGAAGGAATATACAGATTTGACATCCCATGATTATAAGAGCGAGCTAGATATTCGCTCATTTCCAGGGGAAGGATGCGGTCAATAAAACGAGAAAAAGACAGGCAACAGAAATTTGAAGAACCAAAGTCAAAGCTAGGCTCAATAGGATCCAAGAAACAAAGAACTGAATTTTTTTCTTTTCGACTGAAAGAAAAAATCTGCATCAGGAATCGAATAGGAATTATGTGTTAGAAGGCAATTTGTTTACATGATATCAAGCAATCTCAAAAGAAATCCCTGCTTAATCCTGTATAGACATGAAGAAAATCCCTCCAACCTAGACAGCTCGGGTAAGTAACCCACACTATTCCACAAGTCTGCTAAATCGAGGATCATGAAGTTTTATGTGAAATGAGGACGTAGGCAATTCTACCACGATTAAGGGACAGAATCTCAGCCTTAAATAGCAATGCTGCCACAATTAAAGGACAGAATCTTAGCCTGAAATATCAAGTCTAAGTATAGAGAAAATAAGCATCCAGCATAGCTCATTTGCCTAAGGTTCAACTCCAAGAACTTCTAAAACACTGGAAATCCTCAGAAAATCTATTAAATCCAGCAAATAACCCAAAGAACCTTAGTTCATTTCTTTTCAACACAAGTCACTGAAAATTCGGAGTACATCCCATATGGTACATCCAAACTCAAGCATCAGACCCTGAAATTCAGACTCAATCCAATGATCATATTAAGTGTTATCTGATAATATTTGCGAGGTAAGAGAATTCATACAGTAGAATGTTGACTAAAGTTGGAAGGAGGATCTACCAACCATTGACATTACAAACATCCCTCGTACTAAGTCCAGCAATATCAGCGGCTTGCACCTTTTCTACCTGAGATTCCACTGTGCTAGAGTTCTGGTTTGTAGCATCACTTCGAAAACTATCACCAGAATTGGATGTGATGGCAGCACTGAGTTCATGACTTTTGCAAACAGATTTAAGAGCATCCAACTTATATGTGGTTATACAATTCAAGCCCAATTCAGCAGCCAATTTCTGAACATCCAGCACCTAGAATCAATTGCAAAGAACTCTTTAGCAATGACAACAATGTGAACCAAAACCGTCACACGTGACAAATATGCTTAGCAAGGTCAATCAAGGAACAGCTACTGCTCTGAACATGAATCATGATTTGTGAAAATTGAAGTTATTGAACCATGGAATTTCTCGCACTTTGCAATTTGATAATTTTTGTCTAGCCATGTGACAATCCATGAGTATTCAATTTACTGTAACTGCAAGAATTCCGGTTTTATCTTCAATTATTCAAATCTTCATGCCCCTCATTTGCCTCTCTATCTATAGATATTGTCCACGCTTTTCTAGTCTTAGATTTCTTAGCCTGAGTGTGAAGACAACATTAAGTAGTAAAGTTTAAAACATGCCATCACCTACCAAATTAAGCTTTTAAATGAATTCATGGTGGTCTCACATGATTTCCAATCTACAAAGCCACGAAGATTTCACGATTATTCTGTTGATTAACAATTGAGTCAAATTCAAGGATGCTACATACAATCTTATGAGAGCAAATGTTCTAAAATAAAGCCTTTGGTCTTCTCTAGCTGTCTTTTCTTACTGGACACTTCATGTGGAGAAATACTCTACACTATGCTTTTAGAGGCATCATGCAGGCAGATTAGCAGGAAGAATTCGTACCTTATTATGAGACCTATCAGCTGCAACAATCTCTCCTTCATCTTTCATAAGAATTGCAATTGCGGTGGTTTTTCCTCCCGGTGCTGCACACATATCTAGAATCCTTTCACCCTTTCGAGGATCTACAAGCTACAATATTTCAGATGCATGTACATGGTAAAACAAATATCCTTGAAACAAAATCATGCCAATCAAGTAGCACTATCTACTAATCTTTAACTGGTCCATTTTTTTTTTTTATGCAAAGTAGCTTGTGGAAAATAAAGTTACCTAGGGCATGGGCAGTGATGATACTTGGCAGGTTTTGAAGAAATATCTCCCCTTCAAGCACATCTGGAGACCAAAAAGGAAGAAGTTATAGGAGCTTTCGAGGTTTATGAACACAATGTCCAGAATCATGAGCTATATGAAGAAATTAAGTCCGTCAAGCAAGATCAAATGTGTCCAAGATAATAGTTGATTGGTTGCTAAAAGTTGAGAAATAAACCCTTCCTTGTCAGGTAGATTATTACATACAAGCGTTAATACAGGTTTTGATGACAAGAACGAAATATTGCATGTAAGAAAAACCATGCCACCACACAAAGTATCTTTTGCACAGTTAACCCAAAGAATTCTAAAAGAATATAGAATCACAGATTTGAATCATGCGAAGAAGAATTCTTCCAAAATCAGCTATTCATTGCATAATTCTCCACGGCTCCACAGTTTATCAATTTGCTGTATCTTCATCTATCAGCTCACCATTATCATTTATTACAGCTAATTTATTCAGGAAATGGATAGCCAAGGACTCGATGCAAACACAGCCAAGAAGCTTTATTCTTGAAGACTTGTCCTAACAAAGCGACATATTCGACAAATTGAAGTCTCAAGAAAAGGGACTTTCAACATCTTTACCCAGTGCCAATAACAGAAATAGAGGCAAACAACAGTTGGAATCATAGGTTTCAGTTGAAAAGGGGTCACAAGAATTTTTAGCAGATGACTGGACTTTGTTCACTGAAAGTAACTAAAAAAGGATGCAAGTGTCAAGGCAATTTTGTGACAAGCAACTTATGGAAAAGGAAGAAACCAAATATCATCCTTCTAAAGCAATGTAGATGGAATATGAACATTAGTGTCATCTCCCCAAGACGAGAATTGACGAATACCATTAAAAGAAGGCAGTCTGTAGACTCGACTTTTCATGTCAACAGCTACTCCTTCAGAGGCACGGAAGATGCCTGCCCTTGACATCATCGTTACTCCTTGGCCAATATACATGCCATTTCTTTCATTATAGAGAGGATCTGCAATCATAAATGAGTGTTCGAATAACAATCCCAGACATAGCAAAATCAGATAATCATAGTTAAATAAGAATATTCAATCCATGCAAAGAGAAAGGCAAATATGCACTGCACCCAATCAGGTGAAAAAGAATTCAACATTTATATAAACAACAGGATACTTGAGCATAAACCGCATCTTCATCATAACAAAGTATCTCCCCTGGGCAAAAGACCATAGAGAAGAACACTTGATCCCCTTGACAAGACATGTAACATGAGGCAGTTTTCTTTCAAAATAAGTGACCCATTTTGAAAGAGTACGCCACAACAGAAAACGTAGGGTGAAGATGACTAGAGATGCACTGCCCAGGTGCCTTTCCTTAAATTTTCATTCTTTTAGTTCTCCATGCTTAGCTAGGATATTTTCCCAAACTAAAGTAGGGACACCTTTAAAGTACTTAACTGATCGTAATTTAATAATTCATCGATGATTAGGCTAATGAGAGGATAAAGTAGAGGTGGAAAATGGAGAAATAAATTCAGTTCCTAACGAGGTCGTCCCTTATCTATTTTTCACTATTTGCCATTATCAGCAGTAGGGTAACCTATGTGAAAAAACAATAGCAGTTAGCTCACAATATTATCTAAAACTGAAACATGAAATTATTCAACAAACTCTAGAATGAACAGATACCACTAGAGAATAAGCTACTAATATCAATTCAAGCAATATGCAGATAGTTAATAAACAAGATAAAACATAAAAGGATCAGACTATGTTTAACTATATCTTTAATAAGTCTAGACCTCGACTATCTATTCTATTTCAGAAAGATTTATCCTTGTATGAAACAAGTGCCAATTAAATTCTTAAACTTCCGGTTTGTATATGCAGACGACAAATGAGATGTGCTAAGGCCAACACTTAATTTTCTACAAAGACAAAAGTAGATGAGACTCATTGTCTTGTCCTCACAAAGAGCAACATTCTCTTGCCCTCACAGAGAACAACTCTTCTGAGTAATCTACCCACAATCAGGATGTAAAGCATGTCTTAGAAACATGAGTTGAAGTCTATATGACAGCCAATGGACAATCCAATAGGTTCTCACAATAATTGCAAGTTGACAATTTCAGTTAATCAAAATCTAGCTCTGTGAAAATATTGATTGAATACTGAAATAGTCCAACTTGCCCGTCTGAAATCCCTGTAGAACAGTCCCACGGGTCATATTAACACCCCATCCACCATCAGGACCTGGCTGCTCAACTGCCACAGAAACTGCAACCACATCACCCTTCTCGACATGAGCACTGCAAGCCAGTGCACCCGGAACATACACCTAAACATACACTACCATGAGGATACAAATTAAGAATCAAGAAGCAGGTAGGCTTCCTCAAGAATACTTAATCACTTCACAAGAGAGTACCTGAGCACCCCGGAGGACAGCCTCTGCACATTTCCTACTGACCATGACTTCCTTTGGAGGTTTGTCCAAAGCATAACCATAGTCAATATCATGTGGTCCTGACCCTCTGATGAAGACCACATAATCTAAGCCAGGTATGTCACATTTAGAAATCAAACTACTGGGTAAACCTTCTTTATTCGGATCAACTGCATCTCCTAAGGACCCCAGGACTTTCTTACTCTGTCCTTCCAGACATGTATCTCCATTAGCATTAGTTAATGCGCCATTCTGCTGAGGAACCTTATCAGCATCAACGACAGTACGAGTTCCTTGCGAATTCACTTGGTCGGTCGAGTCTCCAAGACCTGCTTCCTCAGCAATGGCATGCATTTTCTCAATGACAGCATCACTTGTCGACTTAAGTGTGTTCACACGGATGCACGAATAGCACGACGGGCGCCTGATCAAGGGAGATAAAAATGTATAAGCAAGCTCCATAAAATCGAAAAAAAAAAAACCAGTGTCAGATAGCGTCTGCCGGTAAAAAAACGCGGCTCCTGTCGGCAGATAGATACCGCACATTGTGCTAAAAGTACGCAATGCAGTCGAAGTAAGAAGTCGCCTTCTCAAGCATCAATAACCCATTTTCCATCACACTGGGAGGTGAACCGTCACAATTCGCTCCACTGGAAACAGTGGACTCCGAACGACAATCCTACTAAGAGCAAAAGGAATCGAAAAGGAGCGAAAGAGCTCGAGCTCGAAGCTTACGTTAGAGCTGCGGAAATGCGAGCGAAGTGCTCGGCTCCGTAAGCCTCGATGAAGTACGCTTCCACCCGAGGGTCCCATCTCAGCGCGGGGTTGAAGCAGTACCGCTCCGACCGGTCCATCTGCATACACGCGCGCGCGCGCACGAAGGGGCGCGGTCGCGGCGACATTAGATCAAACACGAGCACGAAGACACGAGAAACGGGGCATTCGAATCGGGAACGACAGAGGTACAGACCGGAGAAGCAGGAGGGTTTCGGGAGGTGAACAGGGGGCGGCGCCCGCGGAGGTTCTGCAGCAACCGCCTCGCGTCGCTGCGCATTCACGGAGAGCTCCTCTCCGCGCGCGCGGAGGAAGAGACGGTGGTGCGAGGTGGACGACCAAGGAGTGACGGCGGCGACTTGGGGGTGGGGGGGGGGGGGGGAATTGCGATTCACGAGCGGCGCCCGCGAAGTGTTCGACGGAATGTCCGAAAGCCCATGACCACCAGGGAAGCTTGGGCTCCACGGCTCTTGATGGGTCGGGCCCCTTATCTACATATTCACAAACAGGTATGGCCTTTTGAAGCCGGCGTGCTAGGATCTATAAGCTCTTATACAAAATTTGAAGTATCAACGCATGGCCGCCTTTATTTTCTTTGAAACGGATGCCATCGACTGTCAGTCGATATCGCGATACATAAATTCTTGTCTAGACTCGGCATATTCGAATCGTTAAATGAGCGTGCCTCACGGGAGACCCCATGTTAAACTTTGTTTTTTTTAACCCCTCGTGGCTTCTGCGTACATTTCCTAATGGTGATTCTTGTGGGTTCGGGTTTAATCATGGATCGGTAAATATTTGCGAGTGAACGTGATTGAGCGATAGTAATCTCATCTTCACCGATTATAGTGAAACCCTCTCTTCGATATTTCGCCCCCCCCAGAGCAGTCACACCGGCGAACCACGTAAATCCATCGGGTGCAGATTTTATCTCCGCAATTTATTTCTTACTCGGGTCGTTTCGATTGCTGTTCACGCTAGCTAACTCGAATATTCCTTTGACAATCGTTTTGCCGATGGTCATTTTGGGGCTCCTGATCCTTCTGCTACTGCTGATACTGATGTTGTTGATCCCGTTCTGGTCAAAGCTTGGAGCTTATCCGCAGCTAGACAGATCAGGATGGCAAGGATAAGGAAGCAGCTGGAGCGACAGCGATTTGGAAGAAGCCAAATGCAACTGGTTCAAGCTCAATGTGGATGGTGTATACTGTATAGGATGGCAATCTGCATAAAGATAGAATCTGGAGGGCTCATTTAGAAAAATTGAAGGGGATTGGGTCGCTGATTTTGTGCACGAAGTGTTTAGAAACTGTTCTGCCAAGAAGGGCGATGTATCTTTCAAAACATGGATAGATCGATATAAATCGACAAAGGTTGTGTAGGGTCCTTTGTTGATTATTGTACTGGAAGTATAAACGGTAAGAACATTAAAGGTATGAACACTGGGAAGAATTGCCGTCAGTTTTGTAAAAGGTACCGCAAATATAAAATCTGATGAAAGTAAAGATGAACAACATTTCTTTTGGATAGATTGGCAGTGGTTTGTACAGATTACGATCTACAATCGACAGTTACGTAAATGGTAAATAGGAAAAATAAACATGCTTTACGTGACTCCCGCTCTTCAGCAACACTTGTTTACAAATGGTTACGACATGCGAGATCGTCGACTCCACTTTCTAACGGGGACGTCGCCTCCACCTCTTTGACAATTAGATAGATCCCATTGCTTGGTGGTTACGTTCCGTGCTCCTATTCGTCAAACGAGTTGGTCTACTTCATTCGTCGACTCTAAAACTTAACCGATTCTTTTATTGACATCTTTGTCAACCAAGATTAGGCATCCTTATCGACCGGTTCCACTTTATCAACCAATTGTTCTTAATACTTAAGCCATTTCCCCGCTTCTGTTGCCATTCTAGCAAGCATCCGTCGATTACACTATTGACTGCGACGCTTGGACATTTTTGGTGTCAATAGAAATCGATAGCGATTGACTCTCATGCTTAGGATTGAACACAGAGCGTTGTCGGTCATATTTTCTTGCGATTTTGTCATAACAAAAGAGATAGCGAAGCACGTAAGAATGAACGACGGTCGTCCCTACATACGTAGTCAATTGGTCAAGTCCTAAGGAGACCTAAGAAAAACTCACTTGGTAGAATGAATAAAAAGAGTTCGGTCTATCTAAGCAATTGCATTCCTAAAGTCCATGCACGCATCAGACCGTGCTTTGACATTGAATATAAATTGGAAACAAAAGGAGAGGTGGAGCCAATTGTTGCCAAACCAATTCGTTTACACAAATCGTCTATGAATTTTTTCCCCTATGTACAATGCGATTTCGAAATTTTTAATTTGTTCAATATGATCCATGAACTTTTGGTAAATGTTCAATCTAGTCTATTAATTATTATATCCTTGGATTCAATCTAGTCCAGAGATTATCTAGCTCATGGACTAAATTGAACATGTACCAAAAGTTCATGAATCATATTAAACAAATCAAAAGTTCATGGACCATATTGTATATTCGATTAAAGTTCAGGGATCATATTGAACAAATAAAAAGTTTAAAAATCATATCGCATATTGGGGCAAAGTTCGCGAATTATTTACATCATTTTTTCTTAACACAACGATTAAATTTTTCGCAAATTTTCAATTGGGTTAGCTTTTCTCACGATATATTTGACCATTAGATTAGAAAAAAACAACACTAATTAATACGATCATAAACAAATAAAGATATTGCGAAAAATAATTGGGGTAGACGATGCAATTCAAGTTGCTAGAAGACGAAATTTGCCAAATGGGTGGGAAGCCCCGTCACGCATCTCGTCCTCCAAAGCCTTTTCACCTTTCTCCAAGCGAAGGACTTATTACTCAGCAATGCCCTTCGGTTTTCGTGGATTGCGTGCTGGTAAACGCCTCACCCGCGACGCCATCTGCCTAAAGTCTCTCTCGTTCGCGTCACATCGCTCCACTGTTAAAACACACGAGGCACACAAAAGCAAAGACAAGACTCCTTACAAACTTACGTGCCCCGACGAGCGGAAGACGGGACCCGTGCTGAGTCACGTATCGTGAAAACCGTCTACATTCGAGCTCTTGTAGATCTGTTTACAGCGACCGTCGTCGATAACTTCTTACGGCTCTTGCACGGTGGGTTTCAACTCGACACGAGCATACAAAACCCTAGCTCCTCGAGCCCGCCAGATACGAACGCGACGACGGTTACCCCGAGACGGAAGTAAAGCTTGTTGAGTGGAATCTAGCTTTCCAAAATGTGTGAAAGCTCGAGCAAGCAAAAGGGTGTCTCTGCATGTTATGTGGGGTATCCATCAAGATGAGGTGCGCATCACATGGCATGGCATGGAAAGCAATGGGCGACATTTTTCTAAGTATGCGTTGGAGTCAACAAAACCCTAGGAAGTCCTGTGGTCCAAATTAAAAACCAAGATTAAATTATTCATGAATCCTGTCCAAATCTAGGAAGAATAATAGACAAAAAAATATAAGCTAATATGGCGGCAACGGCATGTTTGTCTGCTGCAAACCTCTACGACTCTCTCTCCCTAACAATACATGCATGTAGACATGTATATTTATAAATGGAAATTGTAATATAGGCACATTTTTTTTTTATACAGTTAGCGTCTGCTATTGTATCTCCAAATAATATTCGGCGAAATTGTTCGGTGATAAACGGACCCATTAGAACCGTTTCTCTCTCTTTAGGGATGATCTCGAGAAGGTTGTGTCCGTGATGCATGGCGTGTCAAGAGATTGCCATTGCTAATCGTTCCCGAAAAAGATCCGTTCAAGCCATGGAAGAGAAAACTTTGAAAGTGTCAACCTTCAATTTTGGTGTCGGAGTACCCTTCATTTCAGGTAATATTTGAGAAGTCATGAGTTAACCCTTCAACTAAATCCCTTATTCATTTGACCAATGTTGCGTATATTTCGATCCATAAAAAAAGGGACTTGCTTAAAAGAAGGAAAAAGAAAATATAAGGATAATATCACGAAAAATCAAAAATCATTACACATGTGATAAATTTACTCTGAACTAATTTTTCTACCACCAAAAATCTCAAACAATTACACCTGTGATAAATTTACTCTATATTAGTTTTCATTAAATTTTATCGTCAAATTGCTTAGTTAGATGACACAAGGCAGTTAACGGGTGTAACTATTTGGGCTTTTACCTCTCCGTTTGTCACAGATTTAGCAGTTTGTAGATTTTCATGGTATCAATCCAAAATAACGGAGGGTAAATTTGTCATAAGTGCATCAATTTGGGATTTTTCGTGGTATTAACCCGAAATGCAAATATGAAGAACTTTATTGATTAATATATATAATGGAGAGGCGGCTTCTCACATGTTGTGCAAGGCTTTGGAGACATATCGAACGGATTTTAAGAAAAATGTTTCTCTGCTATCTGAATAAGACATGCTCCTCTTTTTTCTAGGTAATTATAAATTATGTTGCTCTTCCCTTTGTAAATATATAATGACAAACCCTCTTATATATATATGTATATATAGAAATTTATAATGGTCTTAAAAACCGGCACATGAAATTTCAAATAGTCAATAATTCGTCTTGCTCCTTACAATGAGTACTTTCTTGGACCTTCCACTTGTTGTGTTTCCAACTAGGATTCGTACTTGCCTCATTAAATACAATGAATGATGGGTGACTTAGTCAAAGCACTAGCTTTTTATGAATTATAAATGTTGCAAAATTAGCAATTATTGAGCATCCTAACATTTTTTTTTTGTAACTCTTCCTATTAAATAATTTCCTCGATATATTTTTATTATTTTTTCTCGTTTCTGTAATATTGTTGTTGATTACACGTGAAAATTTCTCTATATCTTATTCATAATGATAATTAGAAATTTTCTAATCGTGTTATCGAGTATCTCTATTTTAAACCAATCAATCTTAAATACGAACTAAGAATTTCCTTCTTTATTATGTTCAAAAGGGGAAGATCGGCGTGAAATAGAATACAATTTTCCAAAAAGTATAATAAATATGATTGGCATGGTTACCATAAATGACCAAATTGAGTTGTGCCCTAGAAGGAATAAAAGACCACCAGATAAATAAGAAGATCCATGGAAGTTTCCACCAAACCCTAATTGTGCTACTTGGAATTGGGAATCAAATGGGGTTGAACCTCAAGACCGGTTTCACTTCGGTCCACCGACTTCGCTCGTTCCTCGACCCACCGACCTCGTCGTTGGAGGCAGACATTTAGAGATATTCTGCTTAATTTTATTGGAATTCTGCTAGCTCGGAGTCGTAGTACCGTACCGATCTCAATTCAATCCGAAATCTCTTCTTGAGTTGCTGATCCGATGAGTACACATTAGCTATTTATGCCTTGAAGAGAGGCTCCTTAGCACAAGATTTGAACCTTACATGTACGCCATCTCAACATCAGTAGAAGGTCTTGCATGGTTTCTTTATTTGAATTGCCGAGATTGATTGGCTCAAAAATTTGATTATTAATCAATCTCACTTGACGAATCTAGGCTCGGTACATCATTTCAATCGAGATTGAGATCCTCTAAATTTTAGAGGTAAATTAAATTTATCCTCTTGAAGGGAGAGACATAAGCACAATGGATTGTTTTATTTTTTCCTCCATCTGTGGTCGTTGTTGCCGTCGTCGCCCCGAAGTCATCGCGACCCCCCCCCCCCCCGGGAAGGCCTACGTCTCTTTCTTTCTCTGCTCGTGCATAATAATCGAGGGCCTGTAACTCGTACGCGCGCGCACGAACACGAATTGAGATTGTGACTCTAGACATCAAATATTGTGGACCTTACGCGACCACGAACCCAAGACCCCACTGCGGTCGCGGGACTCTTCAAGGGTCGTGAATCGAGGGGATTCAATGCCATTTTGGTGAAATCTTCATTGAGCATGAAGCCATTTTTGTCATTTCGAAAGATAACCGTACATGTTGCAATGACCTCTTTATTTCAGATGGCTTTACTACGTGCATGCGCATGCACAACATCAACACATTGCCACACATGTATAATACTTCCACGTGTCTACATGCCTGTTTCCTTTCATTTGCTAAATAGGTCGCCAACGCTCGAAACGACGGTGCGTGTCCGGTGCTCTCTCCTTGGAAGTAGTCCGTTCAAACCTGTCGCCGCTACCCCCGTTTCAAACCATGGACGAAAGGCGCAGCGACTGACCGACCTCTTTAGGATTTAGGACGACGGGCCTTGGTCGAGGTCTCGTTCCTTTTGCTTGCCCCGAAATTCACAACCCCTCCTCAAGACCCGTCATGGCAATACCGAACATTCCCCGCGCTCATGCGGAAAGGGCCGACCTCGATTTCGAATCCCCACGAGCAAGTCGTTAACAAGTGCTCCCGAAATACTTCGTTACGTATCGACTTACCTGATCATAGAGCAATGACCCGAGACAACCGAGCATCTCTCGGGATTCGAATTCTTACGGTGCGCTAGTGCGGTTGCAGCCGTCCTCGTTCCAAAACCCCCTTTTTCCGTCAATTTTCCGAATTCAACAAGCTCGATTAATTTCCTCTCCTAATTTTCTACTGGACTCAACCCATTCCACCCCGAAAGTTCCAATAGAATCAAAATCCACCACACTCCCTCACGTTGTGTTCAACCTTTTTGTGATGGGGTCTTCAGCTCCGGTCTTTGGTTGAATATGGAAAAATTTGGAAAACCGAAGGTTCACGCCATAGGCCTCGCGTCATCGATGAACCCAAATGCCACCCAAAAAAGAAGGAAATCATATTCAACTACTTAGAAAAAAAAAAAGGAAGAAGAAGAAGCCATACCAAAAGATTAGAGATTAATAATCACGATAATTAAGAAAACTTTTGGCTGCTTCTGTGCAATTTGATCCCTAGCACCTTCCTTCGTAGGTGGAAGCACCACCCCGCTAAAGGGGGCAAATTGCCCTAGTCATGTGCTCACACCTTGTCCCCCCATGTTTGTTCCCCTCGAGACAATTTCGCGGCAAAACATCTTATGGATATTCATTTAGGGCCAAGTCAAATCGTGATTAATCTCCATCGGAATTCTTTAATGATAATTATCTTGTTTGCGATGAATCGTCGTTCCTCGGACCGGTTTTGTACTAGTTATGTCCCTGCCAGCGCGATAAAGCAATTGACCCGTTCCGCCCATCTCGGTCCTTCTCGTCGAGAGCTTGATGGATCGCGCATCGACGGTGATAGAGCGAACCGAAAAAACGGGGTCCGGAAGAAGCCAAGCGTTCTCTCGACATGGGCACCGGGTGTAATTTGTATCGACATCACGGGTATTTGATGGCTGTGTCTAGTTCGATGCAAATTCGCACCATCTCTCATTTTTTGCCGCAAATATTATCAGATGAATGAAATTTCTCTCAAATAAAGTGTAAATTCGTCATCGTAATTGGTTGCCATACTCGTAGGTACTTTTGTTTATTTGTTAATTTCATGTTGCAGGTCAAGTGATATAACTGCCTCGCATCTGATTTTTAGTCCGATCAACACGAACCCATTTGTGTCATTTGACACGACTCCCACGATACGATGTGCTAAACAACTGCGGAACTCAAGATCCGCACTTCCCAAAGCACAGAGCGCGCTACTCGACCTCTTCTTGCTCTATACAACCGTTTCGACATCCGGTTGCCGTACCGGCCAATTCAACCGGTTCCCATCGAGTAACTCGTTACTATTCTTCTGGCCCCGTTCCCAGGCTGAACCCGGACCATTGCCGGCGGGAACCGCGTACCGTCCGGCGGCATTTTCCGACGTCCCCATTTCGGAAAACACCGGAAAGTGTCCTTTTTCTCTGCCCTAAAAAAGGGGGGAAGACATTAGATATTTTTAAATCAAGATAAGAACTAAGCAAAGAATATTGGTGGCAGTTGCGCATTTACTTCTTGAGAAGCGCGTTTGCAAACTTGGAAAAGTTCCTCATTCTCGTGCTCTTTAAAAAAAAAAAACGCACACAGGGGAAAACAGGAAGGAAGACCCCAAAAAATGAGGTCAAATCTCTACGCTTGGACCAGACCAGAAGGGAGCCTTTCGCTTTTACCAAGCAAAACACATCCCCCCGCGTGCCACTCTCTCTCTCGCTCTCGCACGCACAAGCACCCACTGCCGCTAGAGAGAGAGAGGGAGAGAGTGAGAGAGAGAGAGCACCTTTGCAGGCTCTCTCCAGCTTCACCTTCTGTACTGCGGTAACTGTAAAAACAGAGAGAGAGAGAGAGGGAGGGACAGACAGAAACAGAGCAAAAGAGGGGGCGGTGTGAATGTGGAAAGCCACTGGCGGAAAGAGAGAGGAAAGAGAGGAAAAGAGGGGAGCTGAATAAGGGTTCTTGCTTTGGACTTCAAAGCAGAGCCTCTCTCTCTCTCTCTCTCTAGAGAGTTAATTTTATATGTTTGTTTTCTTCTTGCCCTCTTTGAATAATCGCATCACACCCAACAACGAGACTCCGAAACCGCGTGTGGGTGTGTGTGTGTGTGTGGTGGGTGACTTCTGAGAGCGAGCCAGCCCCGGAATTCAAAGTCTTTACCGTCGATTCAACCCCCCCAACTCTTTCTTTTTCTCGCCTCTTCGTCCCTTAAATACATTCCCATCTCTCTTTTCCCTTTTCAGCTCTTGGTTTTACAGCGATTTTCTGCGCTTTGTCTCCCTCACCCTTCATTCGTCCTTCGAACCCCTCCCTGAATCGGCTGTTTTCCACTTAATTTCGTGAGAGATCTTTGGTGGGTTTCGAGTTTCCGAGCCGTATCGGGCTGAAAGTTTCGAGCTTTTTTCTCCTTTTCTGGAGCTCTGTTTTCTTGATTCTATGGTGGTTGCGTAGGAGGAAGAGGTCAACGCTATGGCATCCGAAGTTTCGTCCTCGCTGTTATTCTTTCTGGTGATAATCGCTTGCTTCTGTCGATCAATCTCTGAGATACATGGCCACCAGAGCCTCAATTCAAATGTCTCCACGCTCGCCGGGATCGAATTGCCCAGTCACATGAGCTTCAATGCCGGGTCCACTTCAGCGAGCTCTGGTTGCAGCCTCTCGACCTCTGAGAAGCCCAAAGACACGGAGTCGTCCTCGGCCTTTACACAGGCTTTGACCGCTGAAGAAGAAGAAGAAGACGATGATTGTGATCATGGTGGGGAGAGGGGAGAAATGGACGGCGATCGAGCTTCTTCTGCACGGGCCGAGTCGGAGCCGCCGCAACACCGAGAGACGGTCAAGCTCCACCTGAAGCACCGGCCGAGGGGGGACGGCCGCGGGATGAAGCCGCGAGAGTCCGCGGAGGAGTTCAAGATCGGGGACTTGAGCAGAATTCACACCCTGCACAGGAGGGTCACAGAGAAGAAGAACCAGAACACCATGATGAGGCTGAAGAAGGACAAGGCCGCGACGACGCAGAGGCGGCCGAGGAAGGTCGTTGCCGATGTGGCCGACCCATCGCCCGCGCCCGCGCCGTCCCTGGAGGCCTACGCAGGCGGGCTCTCAGGCCGGTTAATGGCAACTCTGGCGTCCGGCGTGAGTCAGGGCTCCGGTGAGTACTTCATGGACGTGTTCATCGGCACTCCTCCTCAACACTTCTCGTTGATTCTGGACACCGGCAGTGACCTCAATTGGATCCAATGCGTCCCCTGCTACGCCTGCTTCGTGCAGAACGGGCCGCATTATGATCCCAGCGACTCCACTTCCTTCCGCAACATAAGCTGCCGCGACCCCCGGTGCCATCTGGTCTCCTCACCGGACCCTCCGCTGCCGTGCAACTCTGATTCCCAGACCTGCCCTTACTTCTATTGGTACGGCGACAGTTCGAACACGACCGGCGACTTCGCGCTCGAGACTTTCACGGTCAATCTCACTTCGCCTGCGGGGAAGTCCGAGTACCGTAAGGTGGAGGACGTGATGTTCGGGTGCGGCCACTGGAACCGGGGGCTCTTCCACGGGGCAGCGGGGCTGCTCGGTCTTGGGCGGGGCCCGCTCTCCTTCTCCTCGCAGCTCCGGTCCCTCTATGGCCACTCCTTCTCCTACTGCCTTGTGGACCGGAACAGTGACACGAGCGTGAGCAGTAAGCTCATCTTCGGCGAGGACCGGGGCCTCCTAAGCCACCCCAATCTGAACTACACTTCCTTTGTCGGCGGCCAAAATAATCCGGCCGATACATTTTACTATGTCCAGATCAAATCGATAGTCGTCGGAGGTGAAATCCTGAAGATCCCCGAAGAGACATGGGCTTTAGGAACAGACGGCTCAGGTGGCACAATCATCGACTCCGGCACAACGCTCAGCTACTTTGCAGATCCTGCCTATGATGTGATCAAACAGGCATTCCTGGACAAGGTCAAAGGTTACCCTCTGGTCCAGGACATTGAGATCCTGCACCCTTGTTACAACATCTCGGGGGTCGAGAAGGTGGAATTCCCCGAGTTCGGGATCGTGTTTTCCGACGGGGCCGTGTGGAACTTCCCCGTCGAGAACTACTTCATCCCGCTGGTGCCGGGCGAGCTGGTGTGCCTGGCGATCCTGGGGACCCCCCGGTCCGCGCTCTCGATCATCGGGAACTACCAGCAGCAGAACTTCCACATCCTGTACGACACCAAGAAGTCGCGGCTCGGGTACGCGCCCATGCGGTGCGCCGAGGTCTGAAACCCCTCGAAAAGCCCCCAAAAATTTCCGGGTTTGATCAGGAGAGGGAGGGAGGGGGGAGGGTGATGTTGTAAACACTGGGTGGTATAGGGAGGTGGGGAAACGAAAATTTTTCATTCTTATTGTTACAGCAAAGTGTAAAAATACTTCGGGATTAGATTCATTCCATTCCATCCTTTTCCCCGGAGTTCCGGGTTAGCATCGCAACTACGTACGCCGCACCGGTAAAGAGGGGATATTCCAGATTCCGAGCCGCCGCCACCGGATTAAACCGCCGATGACTCTGCCCTTTTGCCCTCTTAAATTTGCTGTCTTTTTTTACTGCAGATAGCTGGTTGATTGAATACACAAAATCTCATTTTGCAGCAGCAAAGAACCATCTGTTCATACTTTCATTCTTTCCACAGTTGCGTGATTTTTCCAAGTTGGTGTCCTGTTCCTTCGATTCAGATTTCGTTGTTTTGTCTTTGATCTCTTCGAGGGGCTCTGATGAAGCAGCGCATGCCAACAAAGAATAGTCAACGGACAGGCGTGTCCTCCTCCCGCACTCCTTTAAAAACAAATGAACTGGTCAACGGTTAGGTTGCCACTTCACTTTCTATCAAATAAAAAATGATTGTTATACCTTTTTTTCTCAAATTTTTTCTTAACGAATTATTATTAGACTATGATTTTTTTTTGATTTGCCATTTGTATATTCGGGTCGGTCAATTGTTGTTGTCACTTTCGGTTTTCAGCTCACTTTGACATCAAAGTTCCCTCGTTGATCGGTCATCCAAGATCCCCAAGCAAATTTGCAAGCTCAGCCTGTCTATTCTGTCCTATGACCGGATCGATATATATATATTAATTTTTTCGTTAAATTATGAAAATGTATTGACATACGCTCGTTTCCGTGGTGATATACGATAGACGGAGTCAATCTTTACACAAAAGATGCAACGCAACATGCTGACGTCTAGATGTGAAGAGCCCGTGTTAAGCAGCACACCATAACAATTTGTGAGACCACCTGTTGATAAAATGAATGCGTGGTTTTAAAATTTACTTATTTAAATAATTTTCAATTTTTTTTACTTAAAAAATGGTTGGTCATGCATATATGAAAATTTTCAAGAACTTTTTTTTAATTATATGTTCTTTGCATTGATTTGTTGTCTTCTTCAGGCCAAGTTTAAAATGTTCATTCCTCTTTTTCAGTTTCATCCTAGTAAAAATGCCAATTTGTCCCCCAAAACAAATGGAAGTTGCCAATTTGCCTCTTACAACCACCGAATTTGCTTTAATACTTATCAGTTAGCTAAAAATCATCTAAGGCTACATTTGGTAATTGAGATAAAATTCAGAATAGGATAATCCTATCCCATGTTTAGTGCCTACTCAAAATAGGATAAAGTCGGATATAGGAGGGATATAGCCATGATGAAATTATTCCATGGAGGATGTGGGATAAATGCGGATATAATTTATAATATCCATAATATAAAAGTTATTTTTCTCGAATAACAAACTTGTTAAATTAATAAAAAAGTAAAATAATCTTTGAATATATATCATCTTTGAATTTTAATATTAAAAAATCAAAATAACAAAAAAATAACAATAATTTTGTTTTTATTTATTCTTATTTTTTATTTATATATTCAAATTTATTTCTATCTTATGATATAAATCTCATATATATAAATAAATACTTTTAGTATTTATACTTATTACATATTTAGGTATATCAGTGTAGTTTACTATTTAAAAAAAAGTTATTAGAGAATGATGGAAGGGGAAAAAAGAAATAAAAAAGTAGAGGGAAAAATAATAAAAAATAAACAAATAAAAATGAAGTAGGTAAGAGTGTCGTGAGAAATTTTTATTATCTTCGTTTGTGCAATTTTTAGGTTCATTTACACTAACATGACGTTCATTAAAAATAACGGACATGGTAAGATGTGAAAATATCCGGCTTTATTACTGCGATTCACCAAACAGTAGATATAATATATCAAATTACTTGGATTTTATATCCTATCATATCAAGTTCTATCATTGCTAGAAATCCAGACGACAAAACGCAACCTAAAGATTTAGCTCCATCACTTCATATAGAAAATCAATGTGATTAAATGGAGCGAGATAGGGCCTCCTAGACCAATAGCTTATGAAGCTAATTAATAAGAGGTGCGTGAATCACTTGCTTTTTAGTTCTCCAAATTCTTATTCCAAATATGCTATGCACGCTATAAATGATGATTAGTCTTTGTCTCAACGACACATTGTATGATGATGAATCGATGTGGTTAGATGTGGGAAGATAGCGTATCGAAATTCTTATTTCGAATATGTTATGCACGCTAAAACTGATTAAAGTCTCTGTCTCAATCACACATTTTATGATGACGAATCAATGTGATTAGATGTGGAAGATAGGGTACCCTTCTAGATAGATAACTTAAGCTAATAAGAGGGAAGTGAGTCACTTGCTTTTTAGTTTCCGAAATTCTTATTCCGAATTAGCCAATGCAAATTAATGATTAAAATGATGATTAGTCTTTGTCCCGATGATGCGTTTTATTCCATCACCAGCATCTAATTATGCCGAGCAAAGCTATTTTATATTAAAAGAGGCACTTGAAAAGGCAAGAAAAATGACCCTGTTAATAAGTGCTCAAATAATTTGCGAGGTCAAGAGGAGAAGAGCTAGACGATCCAGATGATTGATGGAAGAAAGACCAGACATAACCCAAACTCTTGCTCTCACCAAGAAATACGCCACAGAAAACACGCACCTTGAAGAAAACTATACACGTGTGCGAAAAGCGAAAGTTATTTCGAGATTTGAACTTTTCTTAGAAGATTGTTGTGAGGTATAAAAGAATCATAAAATTAAAATTGAAGAGACTGATTAGCAACTTCGGTCAATGAGAGGAGGGCAAAGTTGGATACGACTTTGACAATATGGAACAAATTGACATGTCCCTCGTACCATCAATTTCTAGGCCCATGAAAACGGCCCGAGGGGCAGCTTCCAATAAGTGGGATGGACCACGACCCACTCCCACCTTCTCCATACCACATAACATTCATTGGTCTTTTTAAGAAAAATATAACACCTAGCTTCATCTGATTTCAAAGATTGGGGATGATCTCTAGACCGACACCATATACTCAATTGCTCTAAAAGGTTAGACCATCTGATGAAAGCGCAAATTTCCTATATAAGGATTCCAACATGTTTGAATTTTATTGGGTCTCGACAAGTTCGGCAAATATGAATTGTTTTTTCTTTCAAATGATAGATGCACCTCGAATATTATGATCGCGAGCTCACTACTTGTAAAATCAATTTCAAACGGGCTGAAATCGTCACGTTTTGCATTCAGTGAGGGTCGAAGCCTCGTGCTTTTAGCTCCATACTTGCTGCCATGAGTTATAGACCCGGATTGCGTCAAAAACCACAGAAATCATGATCAAACCAAAGCCTCCGGAATTTGACCATCTAAACCACCCACCACATGCAATCGCATCAACCTTCACAGACTGCACGTTGGATCATTTGACCAAAAGTACATGTCGTGAATCAGTGACACATCGTTTTGGTTGGTTTACAACGAGTCGCCAAAGAGAAATCAAGATGATGGATGCCTATCTGATGCAGCTTCTGGTTTTTAGCTTTTGGATGTTCAAGATTCAAATCAAACACACAGCCCTCTTAATATAAAAAAAAAAGGAGCACAAGAAATCTAAGTTTTAGGTAATGGTCAACGCTTCAAATTTTCAAGAACGTATATGTAGTAACAGTAAGAGAGCCACATTGTATTTTTTTCATGATTTTTTTTAGAGATTTTTTTTTGTTTTGACAGGAAATTAGAAATGGGCTTTTTGTGGCTGGCTTTGATCCAAATCAAACATGAGTTTGGGCTGGACATACTCCCTTGAACTGGGTGGAGTACAGAGAGAGATTACATTAAGACTGTATTTGGCGGGCCGGATAAAACATTAGGTTATATCCTATCCGGTGTTTGGAATAACGTGAAATCCAGATATTACCGGATATAGCTCGGATATAGTCTGGATAAAAAAAATGTCACTTATTAGGGGATGTGATAGACCCGGATAGGTTATCTGAAGTTTAGAAAATTGATAAAAAAAAATTTATGGTTATTTCCTCACTTCTGCGGTGATCGCTCTTCCTCTCTTTTACCGAGCACCACCATCATTAGACTCTAATGGCCACCTCTCCTCCCACCAGCTCCTCTGGTCTAACTCGTTCAGAGTGACGCGGTTGAGGAGCTCTGTTGCGCAAGCTACCGCCTCCATCAAAGCGAAGGCGTCGGGCTTTGATCAGGATCACGAAGCTCCCCGCCAGGATGGAGTTGAGCGACATAAGGAGGCAGTGGAGAGTGTGGCCGTCGGACTTGAGGAACCACCAGCGAGAGAGGTGCGGCCAGCAGTGACAAAAGGCACGTATGCAATGAAAAACGATCTAGATGGTCGGGGCTTTCCACAACGAACTGTGCAACGACGGTGGAGGGACAATTCACTCTTGCAAGAATGGTGTTCATGAGGAATTCAACGGAAAACTTGCCAGGAGTAAATAAAGTAGTGAGCTCTTCAGGAACTGCTGGACATGCTAAGATGGTCGGAGTTGCTGCAGTACTCGTCGGCAATTACTGATTGTTCGCTGGGAGTTTGCAAGGAAGCTTCGTTGGTGCAGATGGAGAGGTGGGGCCGACGAGCTCCGGCGCCGCTTCATTATCCTATCCGACATTATCCTATTCAGCAAAAATGTTTGGACAACCAAACGCAGCCTAAAAATTTTCCCAAATTCCAAAGTGACAAAGCCGGGGAAAAGTACGAAAAAAGTCCTAAACCTATTGTCTTGATACTAATTCAATCATAAACCTTTCAATTGGGCCAATTTAGTGCTAAACCTTTTTACATTGGTACCAATTCAGTTCATTCGGCCAACTTAGGCCGAAAATCACTGATGTGGACGCCAGGCATCCTACATGGCACGGTCGGCACTGACGTGGATAATTTTAAATAATTTTTTAATAATTTTTTGAATTTTTTTTTGTATTTTTTCCTTTTTTTTCCGTGTCTTCTCCTTCCTTGGGCTTGTGGCCTGTGGCTGGCCACTGGCCAAAGGCGAGGGTGTCGTGGCCCTCGCCAACCATAGGGGACGGCTGCCCTTGTGGCTCGCGGCCTGGGGAGTGGCAAGGGCGATCCTTGCCCAGTCCGCGGGGGTCTAGCCCTTGCTAGATCCGATAAGGGCCGCCCTCGTCCAAGCCACGAGGGTCCAGCCCTTGCCCTCGTTGGAGAGGACCGCGACGCCCTCGTAGGCGCTCGGCCGACCACAGGTTCAAGGAAGGAGAAGTCAATGAAAAAAAAGGAAAAAAAAGAAAAAATATTAAAAATCCAAAAAAAAATATTTAAAAAATATATAAAAATTTGTTTACGTCAGCGCTGGTCGTGCCACATAGGATGGCCGACATCCACGTCAGTGATTTCCAGTGTAAATTAGCCGGATGGACTGAATTGATACTAATGTGAAAGGTTTAGGACTAAATTGATCCAATTGAAAGGTTTATGACTGAATTGGTACTAGTGTAATAGGTTTAGGACTTTTTTGGTACTTTTCCCGACAAAGCTGTGACAGATGGATCCGTTGATGACTCCAGTTCTGGGGCAAATTTAGTGATAACTTGGACCCCGTGGAATGTTAATTTGAGAAGGGATAACGACACAAATGGTGTCTGAACTTTGATCAAATATACAATGTGATTTATGAATTTAAAATCAATTCAATGTGGTCCCTGAACTTTAGTCTAATGTTCAATATAGTCCTTGAACTTTTAATTTCTTCGATGTGATATGAACTATATTAAAGTATTCAATATAGTCCCTGAACTTGAATAAATGGAATGACTGCATTGTACATTTTCATATAGTCTAGGGACTGAATTGAACGTGTATCAAAAGTTCAAAAATCACATTAAACAAATTAAAAGTTTAGGAATCATATTACACATTAAATTAAAATTTATAAATTATTTGTGTCATTTTTCCGTACTAGAATGGATAACATTGAAAGAAAGTATGACTGGTTTAATCACGAAGAAACGGATGGTTGGGGAGTTGGTGGGAGTCACCCCCGCAGCTCCAGCTAACCCAAATTTCATCTAATTTAATCTAAACTCATGTTCACCAGTTTCGCGGAAAAAGAAAGAACTATGAGGAAGGGGGTGATGGAGGTGGTAGGTGGAAGGAGAAGTGAAGGACAGCAACGTTCTCTTACGACTGTGTCGTCTTCTAACTCTATGCACTGACCTACCATCTAACTTGGAAGCCCACCCACCGTATTCATTCCTACTATCAGAGCTTCCATTCCTTGTTTTGTCAGCAACAAAAAGGCTTGTCCCCCACCCTCTCATTCTCTCTCTCCTGCATTCAGACCATCACAGGTTCCGTGCACTTGTGAGCTTGCACTCTGCTTCTTCCAATCTTTTTTTGCTTACGTGACCTTGTTTCTGGATTGTGAGTTTCTCGTGTCGTGTTTGATCTGATGTGCTCAATGGGTGTTCTGGTTATTGTGGGCTTTCTTCGTTTCTTGAAATCTTGAAGTTTGTATGCCCACTCTCGTGACGTAGGTGTTGCTTCTTTTGGCAGATTTTTCCCTTTTCTTGTTTCACTTGGATACCCTCAAATGGCAAAGGAAGGGGTGACCCAGGAAGAGGAGGTAAGCAGGGAGTGCTTGATTGGACATGCCAGCGAGCAAATTGTGTGCGCTTTGGTACCAAGTGTCACTGGATCGTCTGTAATGCTCAAGTCTTGATTTGGTCTTCTATAGGTTGTTCTTGCGGAAGAAGTTGATAATATAAGGGTGATCACCTTAAACCAGCCCCGCAAATTGAACGTCATTTCGTCTAGAGTGGTATGCTGGATTTCTCTGTGTTATAGCTCTTCTTCCTAGTGACATTTTTTGAGAAAGCTGTCGTTTACACTTTCGCTTGAATCAGGTTTATCTGCTGGCTGAATACTTGGAGAGATGGGAGAAAGATGAAAATGTACAACTTGTGATCATCAAGGTTAGTTCCGAAAATGTGTCTTGCTTCGGTAATATTACCACTGACTTATCAGGAGCATTTCTTCTTATACTGATCTTACAAGTAGAGTCATTGCACTAATTGACTGGACAAGTCCAGACCAGAAATAAGTAGACTTGATATTTTACAGCATCTTGCTATCCATTGAATGTTTTGATTGTCAAAGTTCTTATGGTTGTTAATACTTGCAAAAGGGAGCCGGTCGAGCTTTCTCTGCTGGTGGAGACTTGAAAATGTTCTATGATGGCAAAAAATCAAGTAAGGAAGCTTCGCCGAAAGTAATAATTTCAGTGCTACATCTATTAGTCTCAGGTCTCAGCATCCTTTTAGTATCTACGATACAGAGATAATATACTTTGCCTCTGTTTTCCCTTTGCCAGAGGATTCCTGCCTGGAAGTGGTCTATAGAATGTACTGGCTTTGCTATCACATCCATACCTACAAGAAAGTCCAGGTACCTCTTCGAACTTTGATCATTGTCGTATATTGTATATGAAAGAAAAAAAAAAGCTTATTGATGTCTTTTGAAAGGTCGCTCTTGTTAATGGAATCTCAATGGGTGGAGGCGCGTCTTTAGTGGTACCAATGAAGTTTTCTGTTGTCACGGAAAAGACGGTGGGTAGCTGATTCATTGAATTTCTATATTGTAGCTCTAAAAAATTTTATTTAAATTTAAATATACTAGTATCTTTTCTCTGGGCAAGTCCAGTTATAGTTGCATATTTGGCATATAGGTTTTTGCTACTCCAGAAGCGAGCATCGGGTTTCATACTGATTGCGGTTTCTCCTACATGCTTTCCCATCTCCCTGGACGGCTGGGTAAACGCATTTAGAGCAAGAAAAGTTCAAATGGATATGACTTTCTTTTTGTATTTCTTTCATTTTTGACTCCATGTGGTGATTATGTAGGGGAATACTTGGCTTTAACTGGTGCGAGGCTGAATGGCAAAGAATTGGTTGTAGCTGGACTAGTGACCCACTTTGTCCCTTCAGAGGTCAGCTGCAACTCTAATTATAGTTCTCTTCCCTCTATGTTTGCACCAAATTGCATCGTGCTTTTGATGCTGATTCCATCCATTCTTTTCTACTGCTGAAAATCGTCCTGGAAAGTTAAAAGGCCTATTCTTTAATTGCTGGTACAGTCTTGTGCCCTCAGAAAACTTGCATGCTGGGTGGCAGTGATTGCTAAATCTCTTTTTCAAATGCCATTTGAAAAAAGAAAAATAGATGAAAGCATAGTCTCTCGACTTCTGAATATGTTATGCCAAGCCACTTGTGTTTCTGTCTCTCTGTGGAAAAATAATCAGACAGTATACATGGATACGGCAATCTATACCGAAATGTTATAAATTTGGATAAGCTTTTGCAGTAACTTAAACCAGAAAAAAAGAATTGAGAATTGTCTAAACGGAATGTTGACCATGCACTAATCGATCAGCTTTGTCTCGAACCATCTACTTCATGAAACATATACTATTTCCCGATGCTGAATTCTCCTGCTTATGTCTAGTCTATCTAAGGTAGATGCAGTTTAAGGTAACACTTCGTCTTATAGACTGAATAGACTCAGCTGTTGTATTAACATGCACGTAAAGTGTCAGTCTTGATCTTCCCTGTTCATGAATCATGTTCCTCCCTCTATGTGTCAGCTAGTCAGCTGAGGTATTCTTTCTTTGCTTCAAGTCAGCCCAAGTATTCAAAAGTTTGTAGAGGAAGAAATTCAAAAGGGATGATGCAAATGGGTAATCGTTATGAAAGACTCTATGACGACCATAATTTAGCTTTGCAATTTTTATTCTGATTCCTTTCCTTTACAACTTCAGTGAATCCTTATTTACTTTTGTAAGTCATGCCTTCTGATGTTCAAGCTCAAACACTTATCCTACTTTGAAAAGTTGGATTTAGTCAATGGTTCCTTTGCTTTCAACTGTATACAATAGGCAATCATTACTATCATGACTAGATGGGGATTAAATGCAGGCTATTAGGGTGTGAAAATTTCAAATGTTCATGAAAAACTTTCTCCAAATGCATAGTATTGTTATTTTTTTTTTTTTTGTGAATCCCGCCCATATGTTTTCATCTATTTGATTCCAATCATACAATGATCATTAATAATGCGGCTACTAGGACAGTATGCGTGTGATGCCAACTTATTAGGATTTCATTCTTTTGGTCCAAACTGCCAGTTATAATAATCGGTCTGCTTGGTGATTTGCAGTTCTGCAGCTCATATGAACTTTCTAGACTCGGTTTAATTTATATTGGTACTTGCTTGTAATTTAGCCATTGAACTGATGTCACATGCATCATGAATCATAGGAGACCTTTGTCTTGGTTCTTGATGATCTGATGATCGCTTGTGAGTTCATTATTCCAATTAATATCTTTAGCATACTGTGGAGGTAGTAACGCATTCTTCATTCATTTTAGAAACTTCCTGAGCTGGAGAAGCATCTGATGAGTTTGAAATCCGGTGATGAGAATGCCATTAGGTCTGCAATTCAAGAATTTGCAATAGAAGTTCAGCCCGATGAAGAGAGTGTCCTGAACAAGTAATGTGTCCATAAAGCGAAGCCTCCTATGTGATATTCTTACTTTAACAAATACTTTAAGATTGATCGACCTGAACTTTGATAAATCCAGGAAGGCTGTAATTGACGAGTGTTTTTCAAAGGATAATGTTGAAGATATCATAAAATCATTGGTAAGTTCAATGGTCTTCCAGAATTCCCATGGTTGAGCTACTCCTGAAAGTGAAGATATAATGACAAGAGTTGTTTGTGGTTTATATTTCAGGAATGTGAGGCAAGCAAAGAAGGGAATGGGTGGATAGGACCGGTGCTCAAGGGGCTAAAGAGATCATCCCCTACTGGATTGAGAATGACCCTAAGATCGGTATAACTTTTGACAGGATTTGTTATGACAGATAAATTAGTGCAAATTAAGAAATTGACTTTATGTACAAAATAAACAACTGCGTTTTTTAAAGACTTGTATCATTCCTAAACAAAGAGAAAAGCAAAGGATTTGTTAATCTACAGATATTGAAAGCAAAACACATCCATATCTTTTCACTGAGCCTGAATATGTAAATAGAAACCACTCCTGGTACTTGTCCTAGCACTACTTGTCTAATGTTTAGTGCCCTTTCGGATGTCCAGGTGCGTGAAGGCCGCAACCAAAAACTGTCTGAATGTTTGAGAAAGGAATTTAGACTAACAATAAACACTCTACGAATGGTGATATCCGAAGATGTATATGAGGTAAACAACGGTTTCTACTAATAGTACTTCAGTCCACTTTAGTTTTACTGATGCAAAATCGCTTCTTCATCTCTAATGTGCTATTTTGTTGTCCTCTGTTACGTTGAAAAGGGAATCAGAGCTGTTTCTCTCGACAAGGACAATTCTCCCAAGGTGATCTCTCTCTCTCTCTCTCTCGCTCTCTGATGAAAACAGATATTCGTCTGGCCTGTGCCAAAACTTCTGTGCTCATTAAGTTGTTGCAATTGCTACACAGTGGGATCCGGTGACTCTTGATAAAGTGGAAGATGACAAAATCGATCTCGTGTTCCAACCATTCCCAGATGATCTTGAGCTCCAGATCCCAGAAAAGGAAGAATGCAGGTAGGAATTATCTCTAACTTCTCCATAGGATTGTATCATGTACCGAAACTTCTTAGTTTTAAGCACCGAACCACGCTTCGTTCCATCATTTAGTAACTGCGTCCTCATGTGTCAATTACACAGGTGGTCTGGGAAATTTGAGAGCACGCCGTACTCAGCTATGCAAGTGACGAACAAGACAAGCTGAAATTTTGCAGTTTCTATAGCTTGCGATCTCCCGTGACATGTTTCCCTCAAGATGATGGAGTGAACTGTGACGATGAAGAGTGCCTGCTATGAATGCGCTATGGCAAGCGTTTCTATCGGCTAGGATTGGTGTACTGATCAGAACTTCCCTTGTTACTTAACTTGCATATCAAGAATATGAATTGTAACAGAATCCAAACTCAGAAACTCTAATAATCGCACAATGATCGCCGACGGGCGACAGGTTAGCTCAATGCTGCGCAATCTGGCATGACAGCTCTCAAAGAGGCTGAAGAGTGGAAAAATACTGTTCATCGGCTTGTCCCTATAAGTATTCTACCATGGGTAACGTTTTCCTAAAACAATGTCAGTGTTTGATATCTACTCAACAATGAACTGCTTTATTCACCTAATCTTAGGAGCTAAATGCAAGATTATGGGCATGGAAAACGACTAATGGGTCAGCTACCACATCACCAACTTTTGAGCTATCATAGCGTTCCCGATTTTGTTGCTACCCGACCGAGGATAGGGGCAGTCGACGCCGCTTCCGGTAAAGTCACGGCTTCTCTATCTTTAGTGATGGCGGTAATGATCAGTCCGTCATCAATTCCCATTTTTAGTTAGGAAAAATACGCGTTTTGCTCTTTTAGGTTCAAAATTCTCGATCTAGTAATATTTATCATGTAATATTATAATAGTTTACACGTAAATTGACGGGTAAAATCAATGAGATAGGAAAAAACTTTTGGCCGCAGTGATTTGGTTTAGCATTTGGAATGGGCTTTTGGGCTCTAAAGTCCTTTGGTCTAATGCAAATGACGTTTGGTTTGTTCTTTTTTAGAATTTTGGGGAAATGCAATTACAAATAGATTTTTTTTTCTTCCAACTTTACCTCGCTCAATTTTCATAATTTCATAAATGTCCTCGAAAACCCTAACTTGCCAGCAAAGGCCTCAGCGACCGGTGAGCGGCTGGCAGTTGAGTTCGGCCGGCAAATAGTTTATGAGATTTTTTTTTCTAAAAAAATTAGCGATAGTCCTTTCAAAAAATTGTAATTTTCTTCGCAATGCGTTTTTAAAATATATTTTATCGAACACTGCTTTGCATTTTGAAATTTTTAGTAATTCCTAGAATGCTTTCTCAACAACCCCTTTGACTTTCCCACAGGGAGCAGGTCGGGTCAATTTGGTAATTTCCGTTCCCTGCCGACAACGGGGGAGAAATATGACCGTTGCGGAGATGCGATGCCGCGAGGCCCAGGCGTGTTCAAAACTCTCGTCATCATTGTCTCTGACCGAGATCCAAACCGCACGAAACGCAACGAAAGATGAGATTTTGACTCCATTAATACATTTTGTTCGGCCGATAACCACGGTCACGCTCGTACCCACTCTCTGTAAACGGCTTTTGCAGCTGATCTCTCTCTCTTCTCTCTCTGTGAGTGGTAACTGAAGAGCAGAGAAGAAAGCAAGAGAGAGACCCGGCAGAGTGTGCGTGTGTGTGGGGGTGTTGCAGAGTGAAGATGGCGAAGAGAAGCTCGGAGGAGATGGCGAAGGAGGAGACGTCTGCTGTGGAAGGGGAAGAAGCTCATCCCTACGCGTTTCACGTGTCTGGACCTCGCAATGTCTCCTCTCCCAACTGGAGAGACCTCCTCAATTCCAGTTGGTATGTTGCTCCTTCCTCTTTTCTTCTCTTTAGGCCCAAATTTAGCAAGTCCCATTTGGGTTCTTGAGTTGGTTTGCCTCTCCGGATGCGGAATTGACCAATTTCAGTTTGCTGGTGGTTTTGGCTGTGTGTTTTTTGACCCCTAAGGGACCGAAAGTAGTAGCTTTGTGGATTTTTTCAGTATCAACTCGAGAGTTGTTGGTTAGACATATGAAATATGAATGATGGGTCCATGGATTTTTTGTTTTGGTTCTGTGCATTCACTATTCCTGAGGAATGATCAGTGATTCTTTTACGGATCTTGAACTTGTTTAACTTGTGATAGATTGTCTTCTTGGGGCTCATTGGATTGCTTAAAGCAACAGAGGTTTTTATGTCTACAGGAAGGATGAGAATTACATGAGAACAGTGCTTGCCTGCTTCATCCAAGCCGTCTACTTGCTCGAATTGGACAGACAAGAGAACCGATCCGAGGAAAACGTGCTTGCCCCGAAATGGTGGCTACCATTCAAGTACAAGCTGTCCCAGACGCTAATTGATGAGCGGGATGGATCGATATTCGGCGCTGTGCTAGAATGGGATAGGGCTGCAGCACTAGCCGACTTCATACTGATTAGACCCAGCGGTGCTCCGAGAGCCGTGTTGGCCCTAAGAGGGACATTGCTCAAAAGCCCCACGATCCGCAGAGACATCCAGGACGACCTCCGGTTCCTCACCTGGGAAAGCCTGAAAGGCTCGGTCCGGTTCAACGTGGCTCTAGAGGCCTTGAGATCGGTGGCGCAAAGCTACGGGAGCAATAATGTGTGTATCGTGGGGCATTCGTTAGGAGCCGGGTTTGCATTGCAGGTGGGGAAAGCACTGGCGAAAGAAGGCATCTATGTGGACGCCCATTTGTTCAATCCGCCTTCGGTTTCACTGGCTATGAGCCTAAGAAACATGGGAGAGAAAGCAGGGGTCGCTTGGAAGAGACTCAAGTCCATGTTCCCTTCGAGTAGTGAACAAGAAAACCAGGTGAGCATCGACGAGTCACAGACAACTTCAGAGTCCGGTTTGAGGGGCTGGATGGCGCAACTGAATCGGAGCAAGACTCTGAATTTGGGAATGAAGAAATGGGTGCCTCATTTATATGTGAACAACAGCGACTACATATGCTGCCATTACAACGATCCGCCGGGTACGGATGAGAACGTCGGTGACAAGGAGAATGTCAGCCCGGGCTTGATGAACAACGCGCAACAAGTGGCGGCGAAGCTGTTTGTGATGTCCAAGGGGAAGCAGAAGTTCCTCGAGGCACACGGGCTTGAGCAGTGGTGGTCGGACGGGCTAGAGCTTCAGCTGGCCCTCAACAACAGCAAGCTCATCGACAGGCAGCTCAAGTCCCTGTACAGCCTCTCGCCTCCTACTCAAATGTCGAAAAAGCCGTAGGCCATTATGAATGTGCTGTGGCATCTTGCTTGATCTGTTTGTTAAAATAACTCATTTTCCGATACCGGTGATTTCGCCGGTCCTAAATGCTGCTCCGTAGTAAATCCTAGCGTGGCCTGGCTGATTTTTTTTCGGCCCTCTTGGAAAGCATTTGTTTGGAAAGTTCATATCGGCTTAAATAGCTAACTTACTGTATTTTCCTCGTGCCCGGTCACGATGCTCCCAAGCATATGTGTGTGAGTAACTCAACGCAACTTGTAAAGATTGTGTTTGATGGGTGAAGGGTTCAATCTTCAACTGAAAGTGTACTGAATTCTGTTCATCAAACTTTGATTTCATCACATTTGTGCCGGGTAAATGCAGGCTCCTTGAGACCTGAACACCAGGTTTTGTGGAAGGAGGAGATGAGAAGCGAATGAAGCAAACACAAAAAGTTTCATAAATTCAATTGACAAAAAAATAATAGAAAAAGATAAGTGAATTAGCTAAGACGACTCCACTGGGGATCGAACCCAGAATCTCTGGTTCCGTAGACCAGCGCCTTATCCATTGGGCCATGGAGTCCCTTTATAATGCAACGTTTTAACTAAATATATATATTCTCGTAAAAAGAGTTCCATTTTCTCATTAAAAAGCATAAAAGTTTGTAGACAATGAAAACGTCGTTTTCGCGCAAATATATGTTTGCTTGAACTCAATCGCTGCTATGACTAAAAAATTATCGAAAAATTTATGTTATTAATCATTCAAAAAGTCATAAACCTATTGTACGGCAACTCATTCAGTTCTAAACCCTTTAATCGTGTCAAATTTAATCATAAATGTCAGCTGTCCTATATGGCATAACCGACGCTAATGATTTGCCAATTTTTTTTTCTTTTTTCTATTAAAGGCTAGCGAGGGACCCAACGACCCTTGTGGGCCATTAAGCAAGGGTTGGCCCTTGCTCATATCATGACGAGGATTGTGACCCTAGCCATAGGCCCCGCTGACCTTTAACAATAAAAGAAAAGAAAAACAAAAGTAAAATAAAAATGTACAAAACTAAAAAAAATTGGAAAAATTTTCCACGTCAATGTCGATCGTACTGTGTAGGTGACCGGTGTCCACATCAGCTGTATCCGGCCAAAATTGGCATAAGCAAAAGGTTTATATCTAAATTGAAATAATTGAAAGATTTATGAGTGAATTGACTACCGTACCATAAATTTAAAACTTTTTAGACAATTATCTCATGTAAAATCAACAAAACCATGAAATAGGGCATCGATCTTCTTTCATTGAAGGTCAAACGAAATTAAAAGAATATCAATTCAGAGGGAAAGAAGACCTTTCTGCAGGGTGTGAACCGATGGTCCTCGTTCTTGACAAAATCGGGCATCGCCTCGTTGAACAAGGTTTCCGCGCTACACCGGTAAAACTCAATAGAAAGGTCGTGCAACGAATTGAGTCCAAGAAGAAACAATTACGCAAACAAGCTTGTATGCACACTGACGAGAAAACAAATCGAAAAGTAGTGCTCCGAAGTTGCGACGAGTGCACGAAGATATGCAAAATGCGATGTATTTTCTGCCAGAATATTTTGACACTTTAAGCTTTTGGAGTGGTTTGCAGTGGTGCTTATGGGCAGCAATCTAGGTTCGATATTCTAACGTTAGATTTAGAGGTATTTAGGCGGTCTTTCGGAGTAATTTCGTCCAAACGAAAAGCTACGGACTTCAAAGTTAAGGCGCTTTCACATGTTCGTCCCTTTTACTTTTGACGATTTGATCACTCGATAAACTCAACACCATCCGTTTGCAAGTCAAACACTCACAATTGCTATGAAAAATTCCAAAATCATAATTATATATGTACAAATTACACGAGTGTGCAATGTATAGGCAGTTGGATAATTTCCATATGCATGATCATGTGTATTTACATTACAATTCTTCGATGACACGAAGAAACACCTTGTACTGTCACCGGCATCCCAGAAATGCTTCTCGGCATTTTACAACAGATGAATTTTACAACACTTTTGTTTTGAAGAAAGAATTTGGTTTACAAAACATGAATCTCTCTACAGTTGATGAATGTGATCAGAAGGGCTATGTCTTTATATGCATATATAACCACGTTGATGAAGAAAATGAAAAACCCCATTGTCACAACATCTCTGAGAAGCCATAGTCATAGATGCTGACCTCCTGGTGGTGATCATAGTAATAGCTGCTCTCACAGAAGGGAACTGCCAAATGATCCACATCCTCCAAAAGCCAGGACTCCAACTCTTCAAGGCCTACCAAACCCACCTGCTGATGATTGATGTTGCCCATAACATGAGATGATTCAATAGTGGGCACTTGAACCTCCGCCCTTGCACTCCGGGAGTCTCCGTGATGATGATCTTGATCCTCAACATAAAGTGGGATCGGCGCCTGGGCTTGTACTGTTCCTTCGCTGGCTGTTTCCTGGCAGCTTGTTAGGATGCGATCATAGGGTGATGGAGACGGCGAGTAAGGCAAAGAGGGGACTAATGCGTTCGAAGGGGCATTGCCAGTGAGCTCCTGAACGAGCCTCTTGAAGCTGGAGGCGTCGGTGATGTACACTTTGGGCTTCAAGACTTTGATCAGGCTGTGGAGATGCTGCTGGTGGGGGTGTGGCTTCTTCTCACTATTCTTGGACACCTTCATGGATGCTTCGCTCACCATCACTTTCTTCCCCATCTAGCTTCCTCTCGACACGTATCTTCGGATCGGATGAGAAACGCTTGCACACCCTTTGCGGATCAACGGAACAGGGTATATATATATACAAGACACGTACATCTGTGATTCAGAGCTTGTGATAATCATTGAGAACGGTTCAGCAAAAGAACAAGGGAGAGGATATAAGGCAGAGAGAGATGCTGAAAGTGACGCTGCTTGTGGCCACGTCAAGGGTTGTTATGGTTACAGAAGGAGGACTCCATGCCTGACCACCAAACCTTAGAATGTGCGAAGATTTGTACGTATTTGCATGCAGATGAAGGCAAATGATTAGTGCTTGGGCACGTGGACTGGTCTGTTTATTCAGGAAGTTTGGTCAATACATTATAATATTTATAATTAATCTGTGATTAGGACAGATATTAATGGGCAAAAAAGATCTAAATACACGCATGATCACGATGAGATATAAACAAATAATAATAACTCCTGCGGGCTTGACTATTCACGAAGCTGTCTTCTTGTGCTTGTGATCTTCCTGTTGCTCTCTCGTCGTTTGCTTATTTCAATTATATTTTTGTGGGGTTTGAAAAGGAGGGTCTGTTGTAATTAATTGTTTAATCAAGAGTAAATGCCGTTTTTATGGATGGAGCTGGAATAATTGAGGTAAAAGACGTTCGGTCTTTGTAAAATTCTGCATCTAGTATTCTATGGAGCGCGACTTCAACGTGGCTAGTGCTGAAATTGGACTGGAGATAATTGGTCCAATTCTAGAGGAACAATCTGTTCTTTCAAATCGCTTCCAATCATTGATATCAATCCAAATTTGGTTTGACCATTAGCGTGAGAGATACAGTAAATAACAACAGCAAAAAGACGTAAAAGGGTGAATTTGTTTTGCAAAAAATTGATGACTTGAAAAATACATATATTGTCATCATTAAAGAAAATTTTTGGCATGTCTGAAAAATCTTCCGTTGATTAAGTTCATAAGCAATAGAAACAATCACTTTTACATCAATGATTTTCCCATGAAATTAATTTGGGTCAAGTTCTTTATATATATGGAGGTGTATCCTTAGGTTGTAACGTATATATGTTACCCGTAACCTTTCCACAATGAAAAGTAAATATAGAAAAATCTCAACCATAGTCAACAATTTTGACGCGAGTTGTAATTTTTTGACCAAGCCGGTAACAACAGACCATAATCGATAATTTGTGTTACCAGTTTGACCATTTTTAAACCGGATTTGTTGAAATGTCCCGTTGTATCAGTCTTGACCTGTACAAGTTAGCAAAGGGAACATTCTCCAGATACAGATTGATCTTCCACCGGTGCACATCATCTGTAGTTGGTCAACACTCCGCGAAGGCTTGAACGCTAAACCATTTTGACTGGGGAACGTGAATTTTCAATGGGACTGACCAAAACAGACGGTCCTAATGACAGGGATTTCTATATACATCACAATGAAAGAGATACATTCACAGGTGAATCTAATAATGCAGATGTCTCATGCACTTTCATGCAAGGATCAATAGTTCAAACGAGAATTCGCGCATTCGACTTGATCATGACTCGATCACGAGTCTGATGAGTTATAGTGGCTCTGATCTTTTTACGTAGGATTGTCATGTAACACACGGCACAGAAGGTCGTAGCGACAGAACAAAGGCATGTGTTTAACCCTCCTGCAAGTCAAAAGGGAACATGATGATCATACAAAAGCAATGTGTGAATGTGTTTCCATAATGACCAGCTAAAAAAGCTATTGCTCGGGCTACCAAAATCATGTCATCTGCAAGTAGCGATTACTTTGCTGGCGATTGCTACAAGTACACGCCCTTACCTGCTCACCCCTTTGTTTCCTCCTTTTTAGTTGGAATCTGCTTGTGCCGGTTGAAATCGGCAACATTCTTCGCATTTGCCAATTTATCTTTCTTGTCTTTTTTGAGCAAGGCTTGTCCCTGCATGGTTTTCATCATCTCCTTCATTGTCTTCTCCTCGCCCTTGAGCTGCATCATCATGATGGCCTCAGCCTGCTTGTCGATAGGCTTGAGATACTCTTCAGTGGCAGCCTCCTGCGTAGAGCGTGATGTCCCCTTGAGATACAATATGACATGACTGGATATCCAGACATTTGCCCACGAAATTAAGATATCTTAAATCTGAAGTTGTCCTCCCTTCATTTGATAGACAATGCAAAAAGATCTAAATTTTAATCATGCAAGTAAACCACCGCCAAGAACTGATCTAATATAATATCAAGAGAGAGCATGGACAATGCCCGCAGAAGCAAAATTCACTGCCATGTCATGGCAGAAGCCAAAGCATCCGGGCAACTCTGAAAGTGATATATGTTCTTTCTGACATCACCGGTAACAAGAACCCTTTTTCTCACCATCCAGAACTTTTCAGGCTAATAAATACACAATTGGTTTTATATAACCAGCTCAGCTGTGACCACGTTAGAGAGCTTCAGTGCGGTACATGGGAAACTAGAATT